ACACCTGCTGAGTTAACACCCCACACTACCTACTGAGTTAACACCCACACTACCTACTGAGTTAACACCCACACAACCTACTGAGTTAACACCCACACTACCTACTGAGTTAACACCCACACTACCTACTGAGTTAACACCCACACTACCTACTGAGTTAACACCCACACTACCTACTGAGTTAACACCCACACAACCTACTGAGTTAACACCCACACTACCTACTGAGTTAACACCCACAAGGAAGAGTATAAGAGGTCGAGCATTAAGAGAACTGAGGCTACAGTACAGGCTGAGGCTCAGGGCGTCGCTTACAACACAAGGAACAACTTACAGTAACGTCATTAACCTAGAAGTGTTCCTAAACCAAAGAAAGGAGGGAACTGCAGCGGCCTATTGACCCATACTAAGCAGTCTCGTTTACACCCAATCCCTATTGCTCATATATCCACCCAACCTATGTTTGAAGCTATCCAGTGTATTCGAGTTAATGATGATGTTTGGTAACTTGTTCCAGTCGTCCTAACACACACACACTTCGCGCGACACACTTGGAGACGGACTGAAGGAAGGAGGGAGGGAGTGATGTACTAATAAGCTTTTGAGAACAGCAGAAAATACATCACTAAGCTTAGAAAACAAGAGAGAAGACAACATCAATAAGCTTAGAGAACTACAGCAGACAAGGAGACGCTCACCGCAATCTACACAAGACTTACAGTGACACACACACACACACACACACACACACACGTACCCAACTCGAGCTTTACTGATATTACCAGACGTGTGTGTGTGTCTGTGTAAGTTTAGAAACATATGTAAGTAGAAGCCTTAAGAACACAGTCCATTTTCACAAGTTATTCGCACACTTAATACATTCCAGCATTACCCCCCCCCCCCTAACGCTGTGCTATCCACTCATTCACGCTCACCGCAACTTCCTGGACGTCTAGGTATCCATCCACCCATCCCTTATCCTATCATTCCACCTCCTCCTTCTTCTTCCTAAGTGAGGGGCGATATGATAGAGGTGTATAAATGGAAGTCAGGACCAAACAAAGGGGACATTACAAAAGTACTCAAACTATCTAACCAGGAGCGAACTCGTAACAATGGTTTTAAATTAGACAAATTTAGATTTAGGCGCGAAATAGGTAAACACTGGTTTGGAAATAGAGTAGTGGATGAATGGAACAAGTTACCAAATATTATCATTAACTCGAATACGCTGGATAGCTTCAAACATAGGTTGGGTGGATATATGAGCAATAGGGGTTAGGTGTAAACGGGACTGCCCAGTATGGGTCAATAGGCCCGCTGCAGTTTCCTCCATTCTTATGTTCTTCCCACCATTCATCACAGTACTAACTTGGACACTGTTATTGGCTGTCTCTCTAACACACCATTCACTTCCTTATTTCTCTCTATTTCTCCTTCCACAGACCGTGCTGCACGCCCTAACACAGCACCAAGAACAGCACGAAGACAGCACCAAGCACTAATAAACAGCATCCACGTCAACGCCGAACACTCTGGTAAACGACGCCACACACCGCGTCCCACGATATTACCTGGGGAGGACAGGTGTACTGAGGAGCCCCGTGCGGTCCTGCGGGAACCCACATCTAGGTGCGGTCGCATTTTTAGACCTAACGGGTGCGGTGTAGACTAAAAAAAAATGTTACCCGTAGATATTTGACTTATCATTAGACCATACCTGACCTGACTTGACCCGGAACAACACACTGTCGTACTAGCGCTAATGACTGACTCTAATCACGTTGTCAGGTGAGGTAAATATACTGCGTCAGTTTCTGTGATGACATGACCACAGGACACAACACAACCACCACCACACTGGGCCCCTGGCGGTGATTGGACCTTAATTAGCTGCCCTCTCAAGCACCCAGGCCAACTGAGATACACAGGTCAACCCACTGTGTCAAGTTGTCAACAAACCAATCACTGTATTAACCTCACTCCTACAGAACTGATCTTGTCCCCGTGTTCTGTTGTCGAGAGTTTCAGTCAGCGTGATAACATTAATAGAACAAGAACATTTTTACCATTGTTCTTCATTACTATAACAAAATAACAGGGATAACTTGGTGAACATCTACAACATTAAAAGTTTATTTCTCTGACTATGAACAAGAGATGGTTAGCGTCATGGATAGCAGCACTGTTTCCAGGAGACTTTACCATCAACAGTGCCAGCAGTGATTTACAGGTTGTAGCCCTGGAAGGCGTGTCATCGTGCCATCCTCTACAAGGGCCGTCAGACAGGCACAACAGCCCTGACCATACACAGTACAAGGTCCGTTCTGGTCTGCCTAGTCTCTTGTGTGTGTGTGTGTGTACGTGTGTGTGTTCTAGTATGGGTGTACGTAAATTCGAGTACATTTGTGTGTGAGCTCTTTCCATCAGCCGTCAGCAACACGTTTGTCAGCCTTCGAGAAAAGGTGTCTGTCAACCGTCTGTCGGTAGTCAGTAGTAGATCTGTCAGCCGTCAATAACAAGTTTGTCAGCCCAATCGTCAGTAACAGATCTGTTAGTCGTCAGAAGCAGAGTCAGCCATTAGCGTAGAGTCAGCCATTACCAGCAGTCAGCCGTCAGCAGCAAAGTCAGCCGTCAGCAAGAGGAAGACAACAGCAATACAGCTTGAAACAACAGCAGCAGCAACAGAAACACTTGATGCAGCAAAATGGACAGCTGTACCTAAGACCAAAAACAGCAGCATTATCACCACCACCAACACCACCAACACCACCACTTCCTCCTCCACCACCATCACCATCACCATCACCACCACCACTTCCTCCTCCACCACCACCACTTCCTCCTCCACCACCACCACTTCCTCCTCCACCACCACCACCCACTTCCTCCACCACCACCACTCTCCTCCCACTCCACCACCACTTCCTCCCACCACCACCACCTCCTCCCACCACCATCACCATCACCCCACCACCACCACCTCACTCCCTCCACCACCACCACTTCTCCCACCACCACTTCCTCCTCCACCACCACCACTTCCTCCTCCACCACCACCACTTCCTCCACCACCACTTCCTCCTCCACCACCACCACCAGCAGCAGTAGGGGCAGCAGGTGGAGCAGCAGTAATGAAGGACTCAGGTGGTTGGGTGTCACGCGGGTGTTGATGATGCTTTACTGAGGGTACACACCACCTGAGACACTCTCTCTCTCTCTCTCTCTCTCTCATGCTACCATAATATAGCCTGGGGGTGTGTGGGGGAAGAGAGAGAGAGAGAGAGAGAGAGAGAGAGAGAGAACACACACACACAGGGCAATATCGTAACTTACTAAACCTCACCCCTCCACTGTCAACACAGACCTCTCTCTCTCTCTCTATCCGTCTCTCTTTCACCCTCTTACCCTCTCTCTCTCTCTCCCCTCTGTCTCTCTCTCCTACAGTTTCTCGTCTATTTTCCTTCAACAGCTCTCTACATATTTTCAATCTCTATCTCAATATTAGCTAGTCTCAGATGTTCCCAGATCAACGCAGGTGTACACTGGCTCACACACAGCTGTACCCCAAGTGTGTATGTTACCTGAGTGCACACCTGCGTCACTCACACACCTGCGTCAATTACACACCTGCCGAGCTTCATGTCACAACCCAGCACCTGCGACACTCATACCCGCAAGTAGGACGGCCTTTATGACACCTGCGTTGATGTGACACCTTCGTTGATATGACACGTGATGATATGACACTTGCGTTGATACGACACCTGCATTGATACGACACCTGCGTTGATACGACACCTGCGTTGATATGACACGTGATGATATGACACTTGCGTTGATACGACACCTGCATTGATACGACACCTGCGTTGATACGACACCTGCGTTGATATGACACATGATGATATGACACTTGCGTTGATACGACACCTGCATTGATACGACACCTGCGTTGATACGACACCTGCGTTGATATGACACGTGATGATATGACATTGTTACGCCAGACACCTGCGTTGGATACGACACCCGCGTTGATATGACACAGATGATATGACACTTGCGTTGATACGGACACCTGCATTGATACGGGACACCTGCGTTGATATACGCACACCTGCGTTGATAAGACACGTGATGATATGACACTTGCGTTGATATGACACTTGCGTTGATACGACACCTGCATTGATACGACACCTGCGTTGATACGACACCTGCGTTGATATGACACGTGATGATATGACACTTGCGTTGATACGACACCTGCATTGATACAACACCTGCGTTGATACGACACCTGCATTGATACGACACTTGCGTTGATACGACACCTGCGTTGATATGACACATGATGATATGACACTTGCGTTGATACGACACCTGCATTGATACGACACCTGCGTTGATACGACACCTGCGTTGATATGACACGTGATGATATGACACTTGCGTTGACAATGACTTCCACGTTGAGATGACCCCGTTACAATGACACCAGCGTTAATACTAACCCCGTTTTTGTGTCACAAGTATTGAAATGATCCCGATAAGATGACACCTGCGTTTAACTATCCATTGAACAAGTAATGAGGAATAAATTTAAATAATACTAAAAAAGTTGTGGAGAGAGAGAGAGAGAGAGAGAGAGAGAGAGAGAGAGAGAGAGAGAGAGAGAGAGAGAGACACACACAGACGCACTCAGACAAACACAGACAGAAACAAACACACCCAAATACACACACACACACACACACAAACAAACAAAGACAGACACAAACACACACACACATACACTAGCGATACAAGCCCATCAGGCCCCTTAAGTATCGGCCATTGCCCAGCGCGGTGGACCCCGGCCGGATATATTTCACCAGAGCCGGAATATTGGCGACGGGGGCTCAGGGACGGTAATGAAGGGGGGATTAAATTCGCGTCATGATCGGCCAACGGATTCGGAAAATCTACTTTAATCGGCAAGTTGTAAGCCTACCTTTGGTGCGGGTGTTGCGCGAGTCCTGATTGGTTAGTCCCTGGACCAATGACGGGGCGCGGGAGTCATTGGACGCTTCCTGATTGGCCAGATCGTCCTTCCCGCCCTCGCGTTCCAGTTTGATACTTTTCGGCTCCATGACTGAAAGAAATTGAAAAAAAAAAAAATAAATAAATAATAAATGAATAAATGGACTAAATCTGTTTCATGATTCATATAATTTTTTCTTTTGTTTATATTTTGTTGTTTACATTAACCTGTTTACATTTACCTGTTGTTTACATTAACCTGTTTACATTTACCTGTTGTTTACATTAACCTGTTTACATTAACCTGTTGTTTACATTAACCTGTTTACATTAACCTGTTTACATTTACCTGTTGTTTACATTAACCTGTTTACATTAACCTGTTGTTTATAGTTACCTGTTGTTTAATCTACCTATTGTTTACATTTACCTGTAGGCTGCATAGATGTTTACCTGTGTAATAGATAGATAGATAGATAGATAGATAGATAGATAGAGAGCGTGTGCGTATGTCAGAGATTAGATTAACTAATTTGAAGTTAGGTTAAATTAATTAATTATCAAAATCAACGTAATTATGTATATTGATATTCTATTATTATTAATTTTATACACACACACACATTAACCACCCCAGCTTATATCACCTGAAGATTTACCACCGTAACATTAACCTTACCTAACTTAATCTTACGCTAACTTAACCCATTCTAACACTAACCTAGCTTAACCCAACTCTAACCTAACTTATCCTTATCCCCAGGTAGCGTAAGGGTGTTTAATCTTCAGGTAATTCTCAGGTGTTTATAGTACATTTAACTCACCACCACAGATAACAAAGGTGTAATTTAATGTAATATAAACACGTAATAATGTAATAGTTTGGTTTTATATAAATACATAATATTTTCTTGTAGTCATGGTAACGTTTCCCTCGTAAACACACATAAACACAGATCAGCTGATAGTATTATTTTTCGCGGGAAATGTTTTGGCGCGCACGGAAACAACACCCCCCCCCCGCCCCCTCGTCCCATCTCCTCCCCTTTCCTACCTCCTCAACTCCCACTACCTCCACTTCTCTTTACCCCCTCTCTCTCCTCCCCCTTCCTACCTACTCACCCCACTTCCCCTCCCCCCTTACACCCCTCTACCCACTATCTCTCCTCATCCCAAAAGCACCCCTCCCTCCCACACACACACACACGTCCATCACCAACAGCACCATAACCACCATGATCACCCACCATAACTAACACCATAACTGCGCCCCTCCCGTGTTTATTTCACCGACAATTATAAGACAGCCGCCATTACCAACGTTCGGTTTCAAATTAAGCGTTAATCCAAAATGTTGCAGCTTGACGCATCCGGCCGAATTATTGCTGACCGGCCTGTTTTGGCGCGCTTCTGGGGAGGGGGGGTGGTGGTGGATGGACGCACGGACGGTCATGGGGCGGGTGGATGGGTGGAAATAGGGCTGGTCAAAAGTATAGGTTGATGGGTGGGTCATGGATAAGTGGGTGATTGGTGGGTGGGTGGAAATTGTGGGTTGATGGGTGGGTCATGGATAAGTGGGTGATTGGTGGGTGGGTGGAAATTGTGGGTTGATGGGTGGGTCATGTAGGGATGTGGGGTGGGTGGGTATGGATGGAATGGTGGGCAGGTTAAAGGTGGGTTGGTGGCATGGGTGAGGTGATGACTGCGCGGGTTAAGAGTGGGTTAAGGGGGTTAAAGGTGGGGTTAAGGTGGGTTAAGAGGGTTCAGGTGGCTAAGAGGGTTAAGGGGGTTCAGGGTGGGTAAGGGGGTTAAGGGTGGGTTAGGGTGGGTTAAAATGGGTTAAGGGTCCCAAACTAAAAACCTGAGTATTTCAAATAATCAAATAAAACCTAACCCAAAAATACACCAAACAAAAGCTGACCTACCATGAATGACCTGTAACCTACCCTGGATGACCTGCAGACCTACCCTGATGACCTGTAACAGATGACTGCAGACTACCCTGATGACCTATAACCTGCCCTGATGACCTGTAACCCCACCCTGATGACCTGTAACCCTACCCTGGATGACCTGTAACCTACCCTGGATGACCTGTAACCTACCCTGGATAACCTGCAGACCTACCCTGGATGACCTGTAACCTACCCTGGATGACCTGCAGACCTACCCTGGATGACCTGTAACCTACCCTGGATAACCTGTAGACCTACCCTGGATAACCTGTAGACCTACCCTGGATGACCTGCAGACCTACCCTGGATAACCTGTAGACCTACTCTGGATGACCTGTTATTCCGTCCCTTGTACCTGTTGTTCCATCTCTTGTACCTGTTGTTCCATGCCTTGTACCTGTTGTTCCATACCTTGTACCTGTTGTTCCATCTCTTGTACCTGTTGTTCCATCTCTTGTACCTGTTGTTCCATCTCTTGTACCTGTTGTTCCATACCTTTGTACCTGTTGTTCATCTCTTGTACCTGTTGTTCCATCTCTTGTACCTGTTGTTCCATCTCTTGTACCTGTTGTTCCATCCTTGTACCTGTTGTTCCATACCTTGTACCTGTTGTTCCATACCTTGTACCTGTTGTTCCATCTCTTGTACCTGTTGTTCCATCTCTTGTACCTGTTGTTCCATCTCTTGTACCTGTTGTTCCATCTCTTGTACCTGTTGTTCCATCCCTTGTACCTGTTGTTCCATCTCTTGTACCTGTTGTTCCATCCCTTGTACCTGTTGTTCCATCTCTTGTACCGATTGTCCCATACCTTGTACCTGTTGTTCCATGCTAAAGCCCTTTGAGTAAGACGACTTAATCCCTTTAATACGATGACAACCCCATGAGTACGATAATTAACCTCTTGAGTACAACGATAATCCTTTGAATACGATAATTAACCCCTTGAGTACGATGACAACCCCTTGAATACGATAATTAACCTAACGAGTACGATGACAACCCCTTGAGTACGATAATTAACCCTTGAGTACGATAGTTAACCTCTCGAGTACGATGACAACCCCTTGAGTACGATAATTAACCCTTGAGTACGATAATTAACCCTTGAGTACGATGACAACCCCTTGAGTACGATAATTAACCCTTGAGTACGATAGTTAACCTCTCGAGTACGATGTCAACCCCTTGAGTACCATAATTAACCCTTGAGTACGATAATTAACCTCTTGAGTACGATGACAACCCCTTGAGTACGATAATTAACCTCTCGGGTACGATGTCAACCCCTTTAAATATATACGATCTAATTTCTGTGTTCAAAAAGTAACATTTATCCACATAATTGCTTTAAAGTTTCTAATAACGTAATTAAATACAAATAATAACAACCATTACAGTATTAATTATTACACTATTACAATTTACCGTTTTCTGCCTTACCTGTTGTTCTTACATTCCTCTTCCTGAAACGTTTACAAGCTGTTAGAAAGTGAAAGAGTTCTTGTTCTAGTTTCAGTTGAATGGTTCTCTGTTTCACTATTTTCTTCTCTTGTATTTTTTGTTTCAGTCTTGTTTCACTTTTTGTTTCAGTCTTGCTTCACTTTTTGTTTCAGTCTTGTTTCACTTTTTGTTTCAGTCTTGTTTCACTTTGTGTTTCAGTCTTGTTTCACTTTGTTTCAGTCTAATTCTAATTCACTTTCTGTTTCTAATTTAGTTCTGTTTCACTTTCTATTTCAATTTAGTTCTGTTTCACTTTGTTTCAGTCTCCTGTTTCACTTTATTTCAGTCTTGTTATCAGATAGCAAACGTTTACCAAGTTGGAAGTTCCCTGGACGTCTATATACATTAGTTACTGTTGGTGGTAACGGTTATAATTAATCAACAGATGGTAACGGTATAATTAATCAACAGATGGTAACGGTAAACAATGAAGTCTTCTGTTTACATCAATAATCGGGTAATTTTTTAATAACAGCCTTAATAATCAACAAATTCATCAATTTTATCATCAATAACCATCATTAAACATCAATCTTTCCCACAACATGAACATCAACGCCACACATCGTTAAACAGTGATGTAACGACGGCCTCAATAACATGCAATCACCAAAAAAAAAATTAAACGAAAATTATCTCAAGTTTCCTTTTTTTACACTTCCACAATCAGAAATTCCAAATATTAAAACGTATTAATTAAATGAATGCTTTCAATGACGTAGTTAAACGAGGGTGATTGAATAGAGTGATTTAATATGGTAATTTAATAGGGTAATAAGAAATAGTTGTTATAGATACGAGAGTCAATCACTTTTTAAAATCATATCAACAAAACCTAAAAGTTTTTTTTTTATTTTCACTTATAGCAATGTGGCTTTTATGTAGCATTCAATAGCAATCAATGTCAATCACTTCGTCAATAACAAGGTAAATTCAATGACCAATCAGTAAATAACTCAAGTCAATAAACAAGTTGAATTAAATAACCCGTCAATAACTTCAAACCCACGTCAAATCCAATAACCAATTTGTTCATTAATTCGGCAATTAACGTCTATATTACATAACCAATCACTGCGTCAATCACACGCTAAATTAAATAACCAATCAATCTCAATAACACCAATTTAAACGGGAAATAACCGGCCAAATTTTCCTGCAATAGCCTAGCTGAGCATAGCGTAATCAAGCTAACGCGATAGATGCTGACAGCTATCGTTCATTCCCAGCTAACTTATATCAGTCAGTGTCACTAAAACAATCACATCAAAGCTAACAATATTCATAAGCTAAAATATTTCTATCAGAAGCTAAAACTCCCATTGCCAGCTACATAGTTTCATCGTAAGCTTAATGTAAATATATCGTCAGCTATCGCTTATTTTCAGCTATATATATTGTCTATCTATGGTCAGCTAACGTTCACTCCCAGCTATATATATCATCCATCTATCGTCAGCTATGGTTCACCAGGCTACCATCTATCCTGCCTGTCTTATCATGTTTACACACCTGTCTAACGTGTTAACATAAGTTCCGTCTCCGTCATAATTATTTTTCCTTACAATATTTTTTAGATGGAAATGTATATATAAATTCATGAATATATATAGATTATTATACTGTATATATTGTTTGATTTAGAATTAGATCATAGAATTTAAATAACTTTTAATCAATCACTTGGTGGCAATAATTGGAAGTAAAGTTGTTTTTGTCGTCATTATAATTCAAAACGTAAATATTTCTTCATTCTCTTTATCGACTAAATCACTGAAGCTTGTTGTAGTTTTAGCCACCAAAGAAATCATTTCATTTTAAGGAGGCGTTATTTATGGGGGTGTGTGTGGGGTTTGGTGACGTCGGTGGGTTAAATCACGTTTATTGATTGAGGCCGTATTTTATGGTTTGATTGGCTGGTAATTTGCATAAAACAAATATCAATAACACCATTTCAATTGGTTCATCTTTTAGTACTTCTGGGAGGCAATAATGTCACTTAACACCAATCTAATTACCGTAACAGCGTGACAATTACTCAGGAGTCGGTTATTTCGGGCACAAATCACGTCACTGATGCCGCCTGGACGCCCCGGCGGTGGTAACAACACACATTAATCACTTCATTGACGCAGGACACCGAGGAGGCCGGCGCACGCCTTCACTCCGCCACTGTCTGTCGGCAACTGACCACTATTTACCAAGTCGCGCGCCCGGTTTACATGGCCCTCCCCTGAGTTGCCAATGATGGGATTTTTCCTCTCTTCCTCGAGTGCTTTAAAAATTTAACAAATTGGATCAAATCATTCAAATCCCAATATACATAACCCTTAAGTGGTAAAGATCGTTCTTAAATGTATAATAATTTTTTTTTAAGGTTGTTGGTTCAATATTAATTTTCCAAGGGAGACTGGGCTAGTTGCCGCTGTTTCCCCTCTCACTAAACACTTTGTACCCTTGATATGTAAAATCGTTGGATGATCAAAGCATTTAGCTGGTTTTCTCCCGCTTGTACGGTACAAGTGCGCGAGATGAGTTAATTTACCCTCACGGTACATCCTAAACTCAAATACTACCCGCTGGGGGGGAGGAGGAAGGGGAGGAGGGGGAAGAGGAAATTGCACTGATGAAAAGATCGACCGTCAGTCAGTCAGTCATTCACAGTGAGGCAAATGTTGGAAGCTTTAAAGCGTTTTTATTCACGTCTGTAGGGTGCTTTATAGAGTCCCCTGATGTTTGTGTTGAGGTAGAGTCCCCTGATGTTTGTGTTGATGTAGAGTCCCCTGATGTTTGTGTTGATGTAGAGTCCCCTGATGTTTGTGTTGATGTAGAGTCCCCTGATGTTTGTGTTGATGTAGAGTCCCCTGATGTTTGTGTTGATGTAGAGTCCCTTGATGTTTGTGTTGATGTAGAGTCCCTTGATGTTTGTGTTTGTACTCCATCGTTATGTACACATGACTGTACTAATCACCATATACGAGCACTGACTTACACAGGCCGAGTGTAATTATATAAAACGTATCATGGTCGTATGTGATTGTCCAAAAGATTTTCTACCTAAATTGTCTTTTGATAATGCGGATTAATTGTATTTAGTTGAAGTTGAACCTCATTAATGTTATTTGCTTGAATATATAACAGTTCTAGGGTTAAAATTTCTATACAAATTGAAAACGTCCTTGGCTATCCCATTAAAAACCTTAAATGTTGAAGTACAGTAAATACATCATAACATCAACGTAAACAACACAAAGATATGGCACAACTCTTAATATTATTTGTGTAAAGAAATTATTTATTATACGTGTATGTATGTGTGTATCGTCACGTAGAGTTAATATCCGCTAATAATAATAATTCTAGACGCTGCCAAATGCCAATAGATGCCATGATAGTATATATATCTACCCTCACCTGCTGAACTTCCTGACAAACTTTATTTCTAGACTGTGTTGAAATACTCGGCATTAGTAAGTGCAGGTCCCTTTTTTTTTCCCCAAGGTTGGTGAAGGCTTTCCGTGTTTGGAGGAGTTCAGCTGCTCTGAGTCATCTAAGAATGTGATGGAGTGTTGATAGTGGGGGATATCCTTGAGATCACATCCTTCAAATGTTCGTAAGGTGACTAATCCTCTTGTGTAAAGGTGCAAACATTAACTTTACCTGCCTGGGCTTTAGTTAAAATACAAAAATGGTTTCATAGTATAGCACCAGTTATATTAACACTTTACAATTAACTAGTTATCTTCACCCAGCACCAGTTATGAGAAGTAATTAACGTTTACTTTTTCAGACCTTTATTGAAAACTAACATAAAAGGGGTAACTTTAACATATTGATGTTGGTGTTCTAGCTATAATATTGTATTGTTTCAGACTTTTACTTTTTTGTGTACTGTACTGTATTGTGTTCGATAGTCCTAAGTAAAGCTGCACCAAAAGGGTATACAGTACTGTAGCCTATACATGTAGTGACTGAGATTAATATTTTTTTCAACCAAGATTATAGTTGTAAAAGCTGCAGGTATATTGTTCCTTAAATGTACTGTATTGATACAATAACTTGCACTAAAAATTACTCTGCTGACTTACTCTGTATCTATTGTGTGATTGGTTAGTTATTTCTACCATAATACTATATTACTTCACTTAACAAAGTCTTTGTAATACTGTAACAAGTCGTGTCCACACAGGACTCTGGAATTAAAAAAGTGAGTGGCTGACAGCCCGTTATGGAAATAGCAAATACAAGGAGGCAATGCGACTGACACTACATTCAACCACCTTCACTTCTCCAACAGTTATGGTAGGCACCCATTAACAAATGGGTGGACTAAAGGTGCCCCAAACCAGTGACCATTAATGGGTGACGGATATATCCACTCAACTGCTGCATCAAATTTATACTGCATTAACTTACAGCTTCATTAAATAGTGGTAACTATTTTCTAAAGAATTCATTCTACATGCCATTAACAGTCATGTGTTTTCAGGTGGAATAATAGTCAGCTTTAGCCCGGACATCACCCTCGTGACTGGTGGCACCTGTGGTCCTTCATAATGTGTTTACCTTCTGTCAGAGTCTAGCTGTCTGCTCTCACCACAACAGACTGGTGACCTCCTCACTAAGTCTTCCCAGCAGTTTACAAAGCTGTTTATTATCTTTTGGGGTGACAGTCTTACAAGATGACAATTATTATGTTCAAATGAGCTCTTTGTTAAACATGACATCCTCTCACTCAGTCCTATTCTAATGCTCCTGTCTATATGGGAGTGATTGTAGCATTCACATTCTTGCATTCAAATGTTCCATCTCTTTACTGTTATTTACAATCAAAAATCAAAATTAACTCTCCCGGTGCTCACTCTTCCCAAATCATTCACTATCATTACTGTATATTATTTTATCCAATTGCTCACTAGAACAGTGTCATCTGCAAACAGCAAATACTGTACTCCACTTCACTCCCCTTTGTCATCCTCTTTCATTACTTACCAAACTTGTAGTTCCATCACTCTTGCTTTCAACCTTTCTACTTTTATGAAATTATTAAACCAAAATGTTATTTTGACTTCTTGAAATACTTATTTTCACGTAAAATTTTCTTTTTATCAACAAACCCTGACACATGCATCCCCCTCCTTATAAAAACTCAGTACAGTATTCAACACGTCTCCACTTACTCTATACATTTTCAAGTCTTCTCAAATTGCCTACTAACTCCATCAAATGCTTTCTCTAAAACTATAAATACCAGACAAATTCTTCTCTTTTCAAAAGCCACACTGCTCCATCCTTTAATAAACACTGTTTTGGCTACAACTCTCTTGATAACTCCACCATACACTTACCCTGGTGTATACTCAACATATTCCTTATACAGTATCATAGTCAATCTTATCACTAATAGTACACATTCCTTGTCTTATATATTGCATGGCCTGTACTTATCTCTTCTCATCCATTCTAGCACTATTCCACTTTCTGTCTTTAGCATTTCAATAGTTTCCATCCACTCAACGTACAAGTCCCCCTCTAAAGCTGCGTTAAACTGAATTATGTAGGAACCCATGTATTGTGTATGCCAACTTCTGATATCTCCTGGCAATGGTACTATTTATTCATTCTACATATACAGTACTGTACATCAATAATTACTGATAACATCACACCCCTACACATAGAATTAACAAACTTTTGGTGTAATTTTTAAGATAAATATTTTGAGGTGGTTTAGACAAGATGTGAGAAAAGTCTTCTTTACTCCATTGTGAATGTCCATGTGTCGAGGAACCCTCCTGCTTTTATCATAGTATCATCCCCAGTATTGTATATAAGTATGTGGTGGCTGCCTCACTTGGTTATGATCAAACAATGTGTAGAACCTTCAGCTAACTCCTTGTGTATGGGTATTCCTCTGTGCTAATAAAATGTGAATGGATAATGTTTTGAGTTGCAGCAGCCAGCTGGGTCCTGCATAAGAGGGTGTAGCGGTGGTCACTAACTGATGTCTGGTGAAGCTTTTATAAGTTGTCACCATGCAGTGAGTACACAAGAAGGTACATAAGAAATATGTACATAATTCTGTAGAACATCTTATCCTAAGACAAATTTTGTTTATAAATCATAATTATATATTTATTTATCTTTGTACAGTCATGAACTTAATATGAATATACTAATACAGTACCATAAGTGATGTTTCAGATACAGTATAACCATATACAGTACAGTAATTAGTAAAGTTACAGACACCAAACAAAACCAATATATGACGCGTCAACTCTTGCTCATCACTTCTTGTTGCGGCCTTTTTTCTTGCTGCCCTTAGCTACACCCTTTCTGGCTCCCTTCACCAAGCTCGTGAACTGTCCTTCATATTTGGCCTTCTTCCTGCAAGATCACATAATATTGTCTTATTAATAATTGGTACAGTTACACAGGACAAACTATACACTCCTAACCAGATAGACTATAGGACGATGATCCTGACCACTAATAACTCTCCAGGTTCAGTACAGTGACTGCCCTCAACACTACTCCTCCTGTTCTTGTGATGGACTTGTAGGAAGCAGAAGAATATGTGAATGACAGGAGAACAAGACGTTCAGATACTTTTCCGTGGCACATTAAACGCACTAGGAGCATTAAAACTTGGAGTCTGTTTTACAGACACGATGAGTAAAAAATAATCACTCATATAAAAAATCGGCATAGTCAACAAGAACATGTCCACATAGTAAGCACAACAAATTTGTACTGTAATATAAACAGAGTGCTTGGTACTGAGTGTGTAAAGACAAAGAGAGCTGCTCTTTACATGTTGTGAGTGTTCGGACTTTTGACCACTTTTATGGTTTTTCCTCCCTAGAGCTCCAAGATGCAAGCAAGAGCGCTATAACAAGACAACGCTGTACGGGTTAGCACTGACCGGGGTATTACTGTACCTCTATGCAGCATTACATTAATAGATTCTTCCCTTCTCATAACCATCCTCTGGGTTACACCAGTACACCATCTGGGGATGAGTGTAACATATTTGGGGGAAAATGAACCTAACATATTTCCTGACCCATAAGACACAACACAACAGACACACACATGCCTCAGAGGTCAGCTGGGTGACTGCCTGGCTGAACTTTGTTGTGTTCACCCAGAGGATGGTTGGGGTGTGGAAGGAGCTATTTTCATTTAAATTCATATTAGTGCACTGAAATGACATTTCTGTAACATTTATGGTTTCTTAGGTAAATAAACACTAAGCAGCTGATTCTAGGCTGCAAACTGGGAATATTTGACCACAAAATGTAAAAAAAGTTCTGTAGTAATAGAGGTACAGTACCCCCGAATTTAAGAATGTGAATTTGTATTTTGTAAATTATCGTGACTCCACTGTATTATATAATCTTAAAAGTAAACATCATATGTTATAAATATAAAATATTCTTATCTTATTCACATCTAATAATAGTTTTACTCAACAGCGAATCTTACTTTGATGTACCATTTATAATAACAGTCAAATTTGCTACTGGCTGACTGAGAGCAATGTGGGGAGGGAGGAGTGAAGTTAGTAAATACTGTTGGTAGGTAGGAACAGTCAGTATGACTCCTAACAAACACCAAATTCTGAAACCCATTACTTTTTTTCATTTCACCTTAGGGAAACATCCATTCCTGGTTACAAGGACTGAAAACCTACAACTTAATCTGGCATGAATATGGTGCTTTTAGCTTTGTATATTTACTTTTTTTATTTACTTATACTGTATACTGTACAGTACTAGAAACCTAATTTTCAACCACACAAGAATCTGATAACGTAAAACTCCTACCTTTTGTTGAGTCTGTCCTTTGAGAACTGCACGTATGCATATGGAGACACCTTGCCCTTCTTCATCATGTCACCACCGGCCTTCTTAGAGCGGAATTCTGACCCGTAGTCATGGGCCTTTTTGGACACCTTCTTCTTGCCATCTTTGCCAGTAGTTACAGTTGCAACCTGCACATAAAACACAGACACGGTTACAGGGATTGTTAATGTTGTCAACTAGGCAGTGTTAACCCAGTTAAAATAATAGGATCATCCCTTATTACCCAAACCCATCTGAGTTCTTGGGGGACCAATGCACCTCCAGGTTGCATTACCATAAAGGACAGGCCACAGATGTGTTGGTACACCTGACATCATATTATCTCACTACTGTATCTAGTTTGATGACATCACCACTTATGTAGCACTTCACAAGATGAAAATTTGTTCATATAAAACATTACCTTTACAGGAGGTTCCACTTGTTCACTTGAGCCTCCGCTGAATGTTCTCTTTCTGTTCTTGATCTTCCCACCCTGTGCTCCTGCCTTCATGCCCAGAAACTCATCAATGTCTTCCATAAAGTCCATCTCTGTGAAGAACGAGTTATCACCTTCAACAATCTTACAACATCTTCCCCACAAGACACTGGGCAGCAGGAAACAAGAACAACACAGACTACAATTTCAGTGGCCCCAGACCATCAGTCCTGTACTGTATATAATCTAACACAACCTCCCATTTTTAATTATAAGTACAGTATATAAATTTAATAAAACAACCACAATTACAGAACAAACTTACTTGAGACACTGTCCTTCTTCTCCTTACTGTTATCCTCTTTGATGATAAATTTACCAGTACCCTTGTCCACCTGGAAGCCACTAGTACTCCCATCCTCTTTAGAAGCACCCCGGTCCCGAGCAGCTTTCAGGGTGGGTCGTTTAGAAACCAGTGCTTGGCCAGCTGAGGCATCCAGCAAATCAACTATGTTCTCCTATAACAAGAGAAAACATAAGACTAATTCAGTTCTTTGGTGGATACATAAAATAACTCTCATTCAAGCTCATTTGCTCATGTTACACTAATGTAGCTAAAGCCTGATATCATAATTAACTTAAGTCACTTTCCTTTTCAAGATATACTATTTTCAACTAGGGGAAAAATGTGTTGTATTAGCCACATAAAACATAAGTTTGTAGGTTTATCTGGGTTTTAGACAGAACTCTAAATTTCTTAAGTAAGAACATATTGTCATGTTGGTATCAAGGTATTAGGCAAATCCATCAAAGTACAATCACCCAAGAATCACTGTCAACTAAACTCTATATTAACTTTGTATTGACAGTCTTGCTCACACTCACAAACAACAGTCAGAGGTAATTCAACACACTCATGACTCACACCAAAAGCATCATGTAAGTAGGACAATGAATACCACCTACATCTAACTACAGTATAGTATATCTTGGCAGCATAAAATTATCAAGGTTATAAATAATGAAATATGGAAACAATAATATTTGCTATAACAACCATGACAGGACATCTCTTTTGGTTCAGTGATTTAGCTACAATAAAACTACAGGTTAAAGCACCCATATCCAGCAACCATGAGACCTGTTCTGAGCTGGATATTGGAAATTACTGTTATTTGGACGGTCATATTTATTATGTACTGTACTTGTAACAGGTTACCGATACACAGAATACCTGTACAGTACCTGTAAAGGTGCTTCTCTACTTACAAACAAGTTACATTACTGAGACTTGTTCGTAAGTCCAACTTTACTGTTGTAGTTAACGAACATGTTGTAAATATTTTGAAAAAGTGAAGAAAAATATCACAGATGTAGAGTAACAGCCCACATGGTAAGCAAAAATGCTAAATCAACTTCCTGTACCTCCTTTTTCAGCATTCATAACCCATACCATCTACCTTTCTTATGTTATTTAACAAGTGTGCTACTTCAAACAACATTTGTGCACTATCTAGATGAGAAAATGCAGTTAAATCATCAGGTAAAAACTAAATGAAATTTTAACACAACTACCATTTGCATAGACACTGGCTGTGTGGCCTCAAAGCTCACCATAGCAACACAACCCAGCCGGGATGATCCATCTGCAAACCCCTAGCACATTGGCTCCTACACTCTGCTTCCCCAGCTCAGCACACTAACTCTCACACACAAAGATCCATGTACAGTACATTTTTTATTTTATGATAGTTATTTCCATTTACTTTTTTTGCAGATTATGTATTAAGTGAAGAATGTTAAGTTTATCTACCCGAAATTACTTGTTGAAAAATAACCATAACACAGCTCACACATCGGCCTGGCACTGAGAGGGCACGGGGGATTTGGCTACAGTGGTGAGTCTAACTTGGCAAAATTGTCACCAGCTATGTTAACTAATACAAACAAAAGGAAAAATACCTGTAAATCTTCATTTACATCAGGTATTTGTAGATTTCAAGTGGCATATATAGTGATAGGCATGCCACTAAAACATTAGCAGCCAACCGACGAAAGTACGAGACGCTACCGCACACTGGGAGGTTTGCCGGGTAGTAGAATTAATGTTTATGTTACCATCCAACCGCACCATTCTTTAGGAGGTTTGCCAGGTAAAGGAATTTCAGAAAATACTGGCGCTTTTTGGGAGTTGTATGTTAGAATGCCGGATATGGAAGCTTCAACCTGTAAACTTGAAAGTTACAGCCGAGAAGAACCTTTGACCAGACTCCATCTGAGAGATAATTTCACTAGCAAATAATAGAGAGAGTTGTGGTCTTACTGTGTCTTCTTTTATCCAGGTGATCTTCTTCTTCTTCTTGCCTTCTTGTTTACCTCTGCCCTTCCCTTTACCTTTACTCTTGGTGGCTCCCTCCTCCTCATCTTCTTCGTTATCTGTGTCAATCTCGGCTAAGATCTCATCCAGACTGTAAATGAGCAAGTACAGTATTTGTTAAAAATATTATACCTACACAAAGAGAGATCTTAGGAACGAATTGTTAAATAACCTCTTCAGCCAAGGGGTATCTCTGCAACAAAGGATGTAGTTCTGTATTCTAATAAAGGGGACCAATTCCATCGGTGTTCAGAGGGGTGCTAGAAACTCCTGGTAACACTAGAATTTCCCATAAATTCCTGTATTACAAGAGTCTCTTGTGCCCCTTCAAACCCCGATGGAGCCGGTAACTTTTCTTTAAATAGGCCTTTTGCCGCAGAGATGGCCCTTTGTTGAAAGAGTTATTTAATCTGTCGGGTGTCCATCAAGGATATACTGTACTGTATCTCTGATAAACAATACATGTTGACTGACGCCGATCACGGATATATCTGTGATGAAATATAATGTACAGCATTTTACACACCCATATGTACTTAAGCTCGCCCGAATACTTGTACCTTACACGTGTTACAAGAGACACGTCAACACAGTACCTGGCAGGGAGAGCCCGAGAAGTAAAGTCCTCATCATCGCTCACGTCCTCACTCTGCTTTCTCGCGTCCCGTTCTCTCTGCTTCCTCGCTGCTATCTTTCGGAGGTTACGAATGCGTTTTTGCAGTGCAGTATTGCCCCGTGGCACCAAAGCTGACGATGGCGAGAACAACGGTAACTGGACGACAAAACAGTGTAGTGCGTACTATTGAAGCAACACTCTGTATACACTACCTTGGATTGACTCTTGATTACCACACTTGATATACATATCCATTTATTTATATTGTATTGTACTCTTTATCCATTACTGTACTCCCTCCCGACACTTTAACTAGAGGTGACCACAGGAATCATCTTAGATAACCTCTACAATCTGCCTCATATCTACCACAGGAAGGAAGGAAGGAAGGAAGGAAGGAAGGAAGGAAGGAAGGAAGGAAGACAAGAAAGACAGGAAGACAAAGTAAGACAGAAAGAAAAAGAAAACAAAAGAAATAAGAAAAAAAAGACAGAAGACAAATAAAGAAATAAAAAAGAAAGACAAGGAAAGAAAGAAAAAATAACATTTTGAGCTTTAAATTAAGAGCCAACACAGAAACACATACACTCATTCACCCTTTCTTCACTGACAATCAGGAAACACTTCTCATGAATAGTTTGATGTATGGGATATAAGATCTTGCATTTCAGTCAGTGTGAGTGACAAGATTCAACACACAAATATACAGTACTGTAGCAGGCATCAGTCAGATCACCTGATGATTCTCCACCCCAGCTTATTTCACCTGCAGATTAACCACCCTAACACTATATGGACGTTGAGGTTTGGTCAGGGTAGCATTGGGGTAGTTAATCTTCAGGTGAAATAAACTGGGGTGGAGATTATTCAGGTGATCCCATCAGTCAATTTTAAAAACCCTGACTAGGAATGGCAAGTATATACAAAATGTCCTTCACATGTCAATAACACTTAACACTGTGTCTTATATTTGTTCATCTGTCTCACTATGATATATACGCCAATTCTGTCATATTCCTTCTCTTTCTTTCCATCGATACTTCAGCCTTTCTATGATTACAGTACTACACACACACACAAACGTCAGTGAAGTTGTCAAATCCTCCAGTTTCCGTCTCCACCTCATCCGCCGACTCAAGTCCCTCGTAGTTCCTGCGCCCGAGCTCCTCAGTGTTTACTCAACATTCATACTTCCCAAGCTCACCTATGCCTCCCCTACCTGGTCTTTCTCACTAAATTCCACACAATGTAAATGCCTAGAAAAAGTGCAAAAGAGGGCATGCAAGATTATTCTCTCCCCTTCCTAATCCACATATCAAGAAGCGCTCAACACACTGACCCTCTCGGCTCTTTCTGACCATCACCACGACCTCATCTGCAAATTTGGTGAGAAGCTTCAGCACCATCCTCAACACCGTCTCCTACTACCACCCAAGATCCCTCGTCCGAAAATTGCTGTTCGATACCACAGCCGCATCCAGCCCATATGAGCCTGAACTGATCACTATAAGAACAGCCCAGTCCCAACCATTGTAAAAATTATCAATAACTTGTAATCAACCAGTGTATTCACTCCCACTCAATCTTACCTTTCGCACTGTCACTATGTTGAAATGCCCTGTAGTTTGTGCTTCTCCCCACCTAATTATTATATATCATATTTGTATCACTTATGTTACTTGTATATCATTTGTAAATCAAGAGACCCATTCCCCAATTATGTAATTGTATATTTTCAGCCTTCCGGCTGCCATGCTCTTTCAATAAACCGTTTATTATTATTATTATTATTATTACACACACACACTTTCTCTCTCTCTGTTTGGTCTTTCTTAACTTATCAAATATTCACGTACAGGAAAACAAGATACAGAAATGATCAAATAAAAACTAATTAACTTTCCTTACCTGCAATACTATCCACATCAATTTATTATTCAAGTACAGGAACACAGATACAAAAATTACCTAAATAACATGACTTAGCTATCCTCACCTGCAATACGATCTGCACCAAACTTGCGCATCAACCTGTCCAGTATGTCTCGCGTCTTCAGTCTGAATCTTCTTTGACAATCAGGTACCATATTACAGAGAGCCTTGACAATCGTGTCTACATAACTGGACATGACGGGAACGGGGAAGATGATGAAGGAAGACTTGATGAATGACAAACAGGAGCCGACAATCTCCCGAGAACTGGCCATCAGCTGCACACACATGTTCTGGACAAGCAGTTCAATCATGTCGTCAGATATGATATCTGAGAGAGAGAGAACAAAAATTTAGATACTTTTAGTCAAATATCCATACACACAAAGTTATCTGTAAGTCAAATATGTTTAAAAAATAATATTAAATTCATATACTGGACAGAATAAAGATCTCATATTGGGGTCAGTGAGATACTTGATACAATATGGGTGGAACTTACATAACCCTGGCTTATCCATCCACCTAACAACCTATTCCCCAACTTCCTTTCTTCTTCCTTACCTACTTATCCATCTACCTTCTGATCAATCCATCAACCGACTCATTTTCTTCCTCCCATCCACCTACCAATCAATTTATCACCCTCTTCCTCCCATCCACCTACCAATCTATTTATCACCCTCTTCCTCCCATCCACCTACCAATCTATTTATCACCCTCTTCCTCCCATCCACCTACCAATCTATTTATCACCCTCTTCCTCCCATCCACCTACCAATCTATTTATCACCCTCTTCCTCCCATCCCACCTTCCACCTATATATTCCAGTACTATTGGAGAAAGATGAACTCTTACCTCTATACTGATAAGTAAGAGCAGTAATAGCCAGGACAGAGTTAGCAGCCAGAACTGGTGACCCGACAAGCCCCGCCATTAGCAGCTTCAGGCAGTGACGTACAGTGTCTTCACCCGAACACTGTAAATAAACCGGTGGCCCAAAATATTATACCATCCTTCTTTAATTTCAGTTTATTTATTCCCTTTTTTAAGCATTATAAAATTTAAAGTTCTAGATATTCAAGGAAAAGAAACAGTAGCTGTCTGATACTAAAGATGAGAGTTGAATACACCGAGTCTTACCCCACGATGCTTCTGGATTGTGGCACCAACTTCTGAGAGGAGGAGGAATGCAGCCTTGCGCGTTGCTACGGACATTTTCTTTCCACAGCACATGACACACTCTCCCACCACCTGATTAAGGAATGCATCTCGACTCTCTTCTTCCATGTCTGTCTTCAGTTGAAGAAGAACTTGTCTGACGGACCTCAGGCGTGGCGCTCGTGAACTGGGGGCAGCCGAGGCCAGTGACTTCAGCAGCAGCTCTGAGAGACCTTCCAGATTCTTCATAATGAAATCCTGGCCTCCCTCTGTCCCTACACCTAGAAGTTCCTCCAGTAGTCTATAAGCAGCCTTTTGCTCTCTATGGTCCTTTGCTGACCTGACCAGGGGTGACACTTTTTCATACAGACGTTGCAGCAAATTACTGTCCAGATAAGGGAGGAAAGCCCTTGCAAGGTCCAAAAATGCTTGCTTCTTGAAGCTGTCATTTTCATCATTATATTTAGTCATGATAAGACCAAGAAATTCATTACATTTTGGTATGGGGACAATCTGAAGATATGTTTTAATGGTATAGTGAGCAGCCTGTCTTTGTCCAGCACTCATGGTGGGTTCCCCCGAGTCTTTACTTCCCTTGTCCTTGGGTGGAGTGAGGTACACGTTGAATAAAGCAGGGATGTAGTTTTTAGAATAAATGGCTAATTTGCCTGGGTGTTCTATGTTATCATTGATCATGTTGCGCAGCGCCTCCATTACAACAGTTCTCGTGTCATCACGGAACTTGATGTGGTCACACAAGATACGGGCAAACTTTTCATTACTCAAAGATTGATCAACATCAGTTGCCTTATCGCAGAAGCTTGGTAACATTGCCCAAACCTGTCTTTCCACTGTTTGGTAAGTCTTTGCCAATAAGGAATCTTCTTGGCCCTTTTCTTTAAGAGAATCCAGAAGCACAAAACATTTTCCAGCCAAATGAACAAAGTAATCTTCAAAGTAACAGAGTTGAGTATTTTTTACATATTTCTTTAGAATGGGAAGGACCCAAAAACGCTTCTCATCTTCAGTCACATTGCCAGTCACTTGAAGCGGCACAACAGCCATGAGAGACTTGGGCCCCAGGGCTCTCACTGCTGCACCAATGGCTTGCTCTAGATATGCCCTGTGAGGTAAGTGGGGGTTTTCCATTAGCTCTGTGAGGTTTTTCAGACACGGTTCCATCATAGCTGGGAAGTTTGGACCAATCACGGTGAAACAAACGCTTATACACTTAAACACATGACCCCACGCAGACTGGAACTGGAATGAGAGGCCTCCCTCCACTACCCGAAAGATGGCCGCTATTTGACCCTGATCACTGGCCAGGTACTCTTTACTGCAGTTGCCGACACATTCTTGTATCAGAGCTTCAAATGACTCAAACACCTGTGAATACAAAAGTAAAAAAAAAATAATTATGATACAAATCTAATATTATCGTAACATACATATAATTTTTCACTTTGGCAAAGCACATTAATGTCTAGATGTGAGTTATGGTACAGGGTACTATAAGGAAAAAGAACATTTGATAAATAAAGATCAAAATTTTGTTCACAGATAAAGTATAAACAATTCAATAGTCTTCAAAGTAATTTTTTATTAATATATTGAAACATTTTCATTTATTATGTTATTAAAGATCTGTGTAAAGATTCATTATTCTAACCTTTGTCTGCACTTCATCATGGTCACTCTGCCAGTAGGGGACCAGCTGCTCAAACCAAGAGGCAATGTACTTCATGCCCAGCTCTTCATTTAACCTGATCAGTGGTAAAGATTCAGTCAGCCTCCAGGAAAGTGTATTACAAATTTGGTTATTACAGCTACTAAATTATGTGTTTTGGATCACATGAAGATTAACCCACCCCCAGATGATTAAACAGCCTAACACTACCAAGGGGGTTAGATTAGCTTTAGGGGGTTTCATCCTCAAGTGAAATAGGCCGAGTTGCTTAATCTTCATGTGATCCCATGCTTATAATGATCATCATCCATTCAACCATTCTGGCCGTGTTAAAACTTAGGAAGTATCCAAGTTATTTTAAGTTAAGTTTAAGTTTAGTCCAGTAACTTGACATGGTAGATAATTCTCTTCTGTAAACATTACCACCACACAAACACTACCGTGCAGACTCCACTTCTCTTAGGTAAGCCATCAAGAGTATTATCAATTCATTGTATAATTAAAATAGTAAACTACTGACCTCTCCATCTTCTGGCTATTCAAGCACATTTTTTGTTATGATTCTGTATGCATATCATCATGGGGTATATTGTTCAAAACTTGTATTCACACTTATCTTTATTGTTATACCCAAATATACATACAATTACTGTACCATGAATCTTTTTCACTAAAAGGTGTCAACTGCCACAATCAGACTTCTGATGTTGGCAACAAGGCTGGCTGAGAAACAAGAACATACATATACAACAGATGATCTTCCTTCATATGAAACTGTGGCATGAAATCCTAAATAATAAATTTTAACAATAACCATAAACAACTTACTTGAAGAGATTAATGTGTGCCACTGTAAGTACAGTCATCCAAGCACTGGCTGGCTGTGGATCGTTTATCCCCGGAATTATTGCCACCGAATGATGGGACAAACCTGCCCCCTCAGTTGTCAAAGCACAAATAAGAGCGCTGTTTGTGTCAGCGGGAAACACAGCTGGTGATGGTTCAGAGACGAAGAGGCTATAGAAGGCTTGCATGGCACATGTATTAGTGAGGGATTTGCCCAGCTGCATGATGGAGAGAACACACTCACACACACTCTGCCAGGTAGAACAATTATTTTGGATTAATATTATTTATTTAATATTCTATAATGATTTAGAGTTTACTACACGGCATGAACAATATTTATCCTTTACGTGCAAGAGAAAGTAAATTAGATAATATACACAGACAACTGGGGCCGTGTCTGTTATGATTATAGTCGAGTAGTGAGCAAATACACGGCAAAAGACGCCACGTGGAGCACGTAATACAATAAGGGTGACCACATGCAGCACAGTACTAACAACTAGCTATTGAATATAAAGGATGTGAGGCTCCAGTCCCCCTTTAGGCTATACATATTTAAGCCTGGTATTTAAACACAGTCAAATAAAAATACGATAGAGTTCACACATATGAACATATAAGAGTACAGTACTAAAGAAATATATGATGTGCTAGAAATGCTGCCACCCATATAAAACAACTTTTCATTCTTGCCTAACAGGTTGTGGTCATGGATGTTGCCTCTGCATTGATTTTCAGCTCGTTATATCTCAGAATGACTATACAGTATAAAGAACACCATCATCACTTTATATATGCTGGTGCTCCTCTACTTATGAACAAGTTACATTCCTGAGGCTTAAGTCCAATTGTTAATAAGTCCAACTTTACTCCTGTAGATACCAAACATATTGTAGAAAATGAAAAGATAATGGAAGTTTAGAACTGTACAGCTACACCCTACTGTACAATACCTGTACAGCCTTACAACCCAGCTCACTCTTCTCCTCTTAGGTAATCTTTGTTCTATCTGGAATTTTCTACAAAATAATCCAGTTTCATCCACATTAAACACCTGTTGTGGAAAGTAAATCCCTTAATAATGATGTTTGTATCTTTGAAAGTTTGTAAGATAAATGTTCTCAAGTAGAGGAGCACCTGTATTCCGACTTTCACTACACAAGCTTTAAGGCGACGTTGATAATGGTATACAGTTATTTTGATTATAAGACACATAATACAATAATATCAAGCATAAGATATTGTACTTACTTTTAACTGCTTTTTTGGGAAGGCCATAATGACCTGTCTGAGGAAGACGAGGAAATGTAAGGTAGTTTTAGCATTGCCCATCTCACTAGAGTCTCGGAGCTGGGACACACAGAACTCTGCCACGGCTCCTGCTGCTGGATGGCTACACTTGGGCACGTCCTTGTCCACCATAAATGAACTGCCCTTGAGAATAGCACTGATGTTGTACTGCGCTGTTTTCCTGATCTGAAAAATTTAGAGGTGCCCGAGAAAGGAAAAAAAAACATGTAAAATAGACCTAATTACATATTACGTATCAATAGTGAAGTGTCTCTTATTTCATACAGACAAGATATAAGAGGAAGAGTGAAATATTACCTTTGGTTTCTCATGAGAAGTGAAGAGGAGAATCTTGTGCAGCAGCTCCATGGTGTAGGGGTACGTCCACTGCACCCGCTCCTGAGCTCGTAGCAACACAGACAATGACCCAATGGCCTGAAAAGTATGGTACTGTACACCTTATCCTGGGGCACATGTGGCCTCTGTAGCAGATTATGCTAAGTTATGTATAAGTCTGACACTTTCTCACACTACTCATCTTTGATAACAGTTAATGGCACGAAAAATAATAACTTCCACTGCAAATTGCTGTCTGGCCGTAACCTTCACAAAGTAAAAGATAAAACATACTTGTCATTTCTTACCGGTGCAGTATTTACCTTTCCTTATAACTGACATATACAGTATATTGCTTTCATTTTTTTCCTGCTAACTTATTATATTATGAACAGCTCTATATTACATAAACACTTTTACAACTTTTTTTTTAAATATTCACTGGACATGGAGAGGTGAGACAGATAAGTACCAAAGCTATTCACTGAGGCATCTCCTTACATTAGTTATGAGGGTAACATTGATAGAAGACTGGTACAGGGTGAGGGCAGTGTCCAGGGCCTTAGCAAATTCACCGTACTTGACCCGAAGAACTTCTACGCTGACGCGACGGATCACTTTAACCATGAGGGACAAGGTGGCTGCCACATCATCTTCACTATCACTGATTCCCTCCAAACTGATCATCTGTAAATTAAAATAAGTATGAAATTCTTTCTTTTCATGCACAAACTGAAATCATTAATGTAAAGACATATTTTCCTTCTAGCTCTTCCCATCATAACATCCAACTTCTTGTCTCCGCTGTATTCACTGGGTCTCAAACCCCCAAAGTCAGTTTTCTATTCTTGTCTATCAATACAGTATCGTTCAATGTGCTTAGTGAACCTCCTGCTCTACTGTTTTTGCACAAAAAATATATAAAAAAAATACTAATAATAAATTACAAATACATAAAATAAATAAATAAATCTGCTGAAAAAAAATCTGTTTGGCATTAGCTAAATAAAGTAAATTACCTGAACCTGATATAGGTCACTAATCCTGGAACAGTTGGGGAAATGTGTTCCTACACCTGTTGTGGTAACCCATGTCTCCAAGTGGCAACAGCACAGTAGTAGTAGTGCATCACTATTTTTGAATGAATGGGTATTGGTCATGTAACAACAAACGTGATCGATGGACAGGTTTGCTATATGTCACATTTCCACAACTGTACATTGATTACAAGTGGACCGTTGATGGACAGCCCTGGTTTAACATGTATAGGAAGGTGGGATGTTGCAGCACCTGATAAATCCCATCTAGGTTTTCCTCTGAAAATGTTAGCTTGTCTGCTGGGCAAATGGACATGAAAAATCACCTTCCCGGCACCTAGTCTGGGCACTACTAATCTGCACAACCTGATTTAAAAAGTGTATGGAATTATGGGGGAAAGGAGACAAAGAAGTTAGTGTAGCTATACAGTAATGGAAATTGAAGACAGACCACCCTGTAGCTTAACACACTACTGCATTAACGTCTGACTTACCAAGCTACAATAATATGAAGTTGACGTCTCAGGCATGCCAGCCTCTTTCATGTACTCCTGTGATGCAGCATGGATTGCCAACATACGGGTGTGGAGCTCAGATGTGGTGCTGAAATTCCTGAAGAACCTGTTGGGGGGGAGTGAATATAACCATGAAAAGCTGCAACCTAAACAAATAACATTAAGTAAGGGTGGAAAAGGAAGAGTTTAAAATAGTATACTGAACCTGGAATATCCCCACATCAAGACTCAGACACTGTATACAGGCCCCCAGGATGATCTATAAGTTGTTAATCTTATTATTTACACAAATCACAGAAAACACAGGTGGCATTTGGTTAATATCCAATAACCCAGCCATGAGACACTGTGTACACAACCCAGCCATGAGACACTGTGTACACAACCCAGCCATGAGACACTGTGTACACAACCCAGCCATGAGACAGTGTGTACACAAGACTGCTCCAGCCAATGGTGATAGCACAGCAAACCAACAGAGGACATTCACTTATCACAACTTAACAATGGTCAATTAAAGAGAAAAAGAGATACAGGCTTTTTTATTGTATTACCCATAAGATATGTGTATAAACCACAACATGACATTTATGAAGAAAAAAAAAGTTGGCTGTTTACATTATGTGATGTTATTGAGGCCAAGTGATTTGGTATCAGCCATTGCAGACTCTAATAAACAGTACTGTCAATTATATTACCTGATGTGTAATGCCACAAAACTGATAAAATACTATTAACAAATTCATATTTCATACAGCTATTGTACTGTATAAAGATACTGTACTGTACTTCACTGTATCAAGATAAAAATAGTCTTCCATGTTCAACAACACCACAATCACTGTATATTTTGAGCACACACACTGCTACTGTATATTGATACAGGGGGTCCCCGACTTACAAACACCTGCCCATAAAGTTAATATATTTTTATAGGGGTTAGCCCACCCAGGCACATGAGACAATATATTATGCTTTCAATATCTTCCCAGGCAGTAGTAATTCCCTGTTTGACAGCTGCCTACTATCTACTACCTTTACCTGATGACCTATCTTTTTTACTTTTATTTACTGTATTTTGCCATTCTATTTTTCTTCTCTTAAATTAAACGATTTTAGATGTATATAAGGACTTAGGCTATGATATAGTGGGATTTAAACATTGTTCTGTAAGTACAGTATGCACATTGGGAATGTATTTCGACTTAAGTACATTTTTTACTTAAGAACATCTGTAGGAACGGAACTCATACATAACCCAGGACTATCTGTAGTCATTATTTACTCTTAACCTGCCACTCCACTTTCCTTTCCTTGATCTAATCCACATCAGAAGTTTCAATACAAATAAATTCACAGATATAAAATAAGATAAATTTACCCTTTACCCCCAGCTAACTCCGGGACACTAGCATGACACAGCCACCGGCTCTGTGCACCTCACCAACCCTGCCAAGATGCTGGATCAAACTAATGTCTCATGGACCAAAACCCCCATAAAGTTAACAACTATATAACGGTGCCCAGGAAGAACCCCCCCCCCCCCAAAAAAAAATAAAAACTCACTTATCAAATGCAGGAATGGTACAGGAGGTGAAGTTGGTGGCAAAAGTGTTGAAGGTCTTGCCAGCGCTGCGCAGATCTTCACCATCCACACAGAGGTCCTCCATCTGCTGTTGTATGTTCCCGAGTGCTGCATCGTGCTCGGCCAAAGCCCCCTTGGTCAGGTAACTTTCCCCTGTTCAAAATACAATAAATACAGACGGCTTTATTCTGTTTTTGATAAACTGCTCTCGTCTATTCTAATCTTAAACCTTAAACAATAATTACACATTACTCTTGAACTTCAACGAGCACTTTTACACTTTCAAAGATCCCAAAACCTCTGATTCTCTTAACAACACTTAATGTATAATCATATATAAAACAAATTACATCCCCACACAGGATATATAACAATACATTAATAAACTAACCTTGAACTTTCTGGAAAAAACAACCCCTGGCTGATTCTCTGTGTTTAGTATTATCAGCATTAGACACACAACTCTGCCCCTTCTTCCACTTTTTCCCTTTACCACTTATCCTCTTGAGCTTCATATTGCCACCAACTCTGTAAAGACAAAACACTTTATAATATAGAACTTAAAATGACTGAAGGAGAGAGAGAGAGAGAGAGAGAGAGAGAGAGAGAGAGAGAGAGAGAGAGAATACTACTTTCATTAAGTTAAGGGATGTCTAGTCCTTAAATATTACTAAATAAGGTTAATATATGTTTTAATTAGTACGACACGTAACTATGAGGTGATTAAAAGAAAAAAATGAACCTATATGAGAACTAATGGCAAAGTACTTCAGGGTGTTAATATTAAAGTACAGTAACTCACCCTCACCTTCCTCTCCTTTACACCCTCTTTGTCTTCACCTAAACGAGTCTCTGGTAACAATTATATGAATAAATTATAAGTTTGATGACATTAAAGGAATCACAAACAACACAACGTGGTGATTGACTCTACCTCTGGCTGGCGTTAATTCCAGGTCATACAACGTTATATTATATTAAACTTTACCCCCAATAAATAATATAAACTAATGTATAATATTTTAAAATGTTTATTATACTTTATTTTAAATTTTTATATATTTTTATAATACGATAAATTTATAATATAACTATTTATCTATTTTATGATCCGGATGATAAGTGTTTGTTTTAGGGCAGTTTTCAGAATTAAAAAAATATATATATATATTTTTTTTTCGAGCTTCTAGCTGATCAACTTGTCATACAGGAAGGAATTCTTATAACAAACAGATAACCTTTAAAAAGCTCAAGATATGTTAATAATGGGGGCCAGTAATAAATCATGGGTGTACAGCCGTGTCCTCTCAAAGAGGTTCATTCTATAAAGATGTGGTGACCTCATGCTAGCAGTTAAGGTAATACCGTATATAAGTACCTTACAAAAAGTTCATATCAAATACTGAACAGCGACAGCACATTTTCTTCTCGATAATGTACACTGATTCAGTAATGTTTATAATAATCATGGATTTTTCTTAAAACTAAAATAATTATGTTTGATTTATACATTATTATGTGAATTTTTTTTATCCGATTTTTAGAGTGGCCTAATGAAGCTTTTTTAAGCTTTTAAATATATATTATATATATGGAATACTCTTTTTTTGTCCTGGCGCTCTCTACAAAACCTGTAAACACGCCCATCTCCTCTGAAAATTTAATACAATCTATATGTTTTTAGCAATCTATAATTTAAAAATACAATTGTTTAATAAAAAGATAAATAGAATAATACAAAATAAACATAATAATTATTCAATTGAATAAAATATAAAACTTAAAAGATTATTATGAAAAAAATCTACGCAATTCAGAGTTGATGTAAGTTATAATAAGATGTTGCCGGAGACTAACCGACGCAAATAATCTGTACCCATCTGGAGGACGTCTGCCATGGTCACAAGGGTGTTTGTTATAGTCTGGTCATATTACTAACACTACAGAGTCTGAAAACACAAGAAAAGGATTATAAATTACAGTAAAACATCTCATAAACACTTCAAGTGGAGCAACAGTTGAGTGTGTAGCTCAAGAACCGAGTAATAATGGTTAGTCTTGGTAATTCACGTGAGACCTTGATCTGAACTCTGGTGAAACTTTTGTTCTTGTTCCGGTAAACAATTTAAGAATTTTAATATTAAACCGAATATATCAAGGAGGGCAAATACTAACATATGGTCTTTGGTGTATAAATGCAACTGTTCTCGCTTCTAGTAATTGTATATGAAGTTTCCACAGTATTCAGTACTAGGGGCTATAGTATGGTTAAGGGTTAATATTCGGTTTAGCTCATCACCTGGACTTAAGATGAAAATATGTTCTCAAGTATAATTCAATTTTGATTTGAAATTCTGTTATGGTCTTTCTTGTGCAAATTGATAATAATGAAGACATAAAGCAACCATCACCAACCATGATGTGACAGCCGGGGAGATGCCCTCTGGCTAGGAGCACATCATTAAGTTAGGTTATTTTTTTAGGTTTTTAGTCCTCCCTTACCCCATAGTTTCCCTCTAATAAATACCGAAGGGAAAAATTGATTCAGGATTAAATTCTATATATGAAGAACCTATTTTCATCCTGAAGCCCAGTGTGTGACCACCATTTCCTGTCTCAGATTCATACAAATTATCAACTTAGGGAAGATTTTTCACCATCATTAATAACCAGGTAGATTGGTAGCTAGAAGTCCTCATTTACTTGCTGTCACCTGTACTTGCTAGAAGCTAATTCTGTATTTTTCATCAGACTCTGCAGTTGTGTACCATAAACCCCGGCCTAAAGGAACTTGTCCGCAAATTCAGATTTCGCCGCGCCACAACCAATGCCGCAATCTTAAGTAAATCTTTTGGCTTATTTGTACCACAGCACTGTATTCTCAACTGTATCCTTTATTTGTATTATAAGTGATTACAATGACTAATAGTAAAGTGTGTACAGTAGTTGCAACCTTTAATATACATACTAATTACATTCTTATTATGGTATATACAGTCAGACCAGAAATTGTTTTTAATCCTTTGGTGTCGAACAGTGTGACAAACTGGCGAAAGTTCCTTACAAAGTTCTCACATCTGGCTTCACATTGGTAGCCGAGAGGTGCTTCATATTTCCTCCTGTACCAATACAATATATGTCATTTTATGGATATTTTTACCTAACTACTGTTTCTGATGGTCTGTAGCTGTTGAAATGTTGCTTTCTCTCATTTATGCTCTAATAGATTTGGATATTATTCAGCCATCCATTATTTATTTTATACTCGGCATCTTTAAGTAAATTAGTGAAAGTTTTTAGTAGCAGAGTAATACATGAAGAGATGCGGTAAATTACTATGGTGTGTTAATATTCACAATATTATAATGTTCTGATTTGATTGAAGTGAAAAGGGTGAAGTTCATAAAGGAAGGGAAGTGAGGTAAAGAAAAGGGTGAAGTTCATGAAGGAAGGGAAGTGAGGTAAAGAAAAGGGTGAAGTTCATAAAGGAAGGGAAGTGAGGTAAAGAAAAGGGTGAAGTTCATGAAGGAAGGGAAGTGAGGTAAAGAAAAGGGTGAAGTTCATGAAGGAAGGGAAGTGAGGTAAAGAAAAGGGTGAAGTTCATGAAGGAAGGGAAGTGAGGTAAAGAAAAGGGTGAAGTTCATAAGGAAGGAAGGGAAGTGGAAGGTGAAAAGAAAAGGGTGAAGTTCATGAAGGAAGGGAAGTGAGGTAAAGAAAAGGGTGAAGTTCATGAAGGAAGGGAAGTGAGGTAAAGAAAAGGGTGAAGTTCATGAAGGAAGGGAAGTGAGGTAAAGAAAAGGATGAGTTTGTGTTGCTGGTCACTTGGTGGTGTAACGTGTTATGTATGTAAGCAAGATGTGGATTTGTGGCTGTGGAGTGAAGAGACAATTTATATAGATTCAGATGTGGATTTCAAGTGTGGATAGAACGACAGATGAATAATGTAGAGAGAACTTCATTGTTGTTTTTATGGATAGAATGACAGATGAATAACACAGAAAAAAACTTTGATGTTATTTTGAAAGATTAAAGGAGATAACTATTAATATGTTATGGTCTTTAGGAGGGAATTGTAAGTGTATTTTTTGTGTGAGTTAGAACAGCCGTCAAGTTGGGTGGAAGGTGGGAGAGTATGTGAGGAGACGTGATGAGGTTGTGATGTGTGTATCTGACATCTTTCTCTATAGATTTACTGTATACTGTAATTGGAAGTGATGTTTAGGGTACTGGGAGACCAACTCTAACTGTTCGTGTGTGAGAGGTACAGTAATCACTAAGGAAATGGAAGTTGGGGAATGGTATTAATTTTTTATGTACTAATCATGGATCACATTAAGATTAGGTATCCCAGGTTATTTCACATGATGATTATGCACCCTAATGCTGAGTTAGAGGAGGAGGGGGGTTAGGTTGGGTAAGTTTAGGCTGTGATAGGTTAGCGTAAGGGTGTTAGTTGGTAATCATTAGGTCAAGTAAACTGAATTAATTTGGGTGCTTAATCTTTAATGGTGATTTTGCAGTGAAAGTCAACCAGCAATCATCAGAGATCATTCTGGAGGAGGAATTGGATAACATTGAGGATGTGGATGACCTGCGGAACTCCATCCCAGACACGCAGCCTCGGTACGTCCTTATCTCCTGGCGCATCGAGCATCAAGACGGTAGGGTGTCGTACCCCATGGCCTTCATCTTCACTACACCCAGAGGCATGTACTGTGCATCAACTGCTACGTGTATATAAGTGACTGTGACTTTTAACTTTGTCCGTAATGGCACAAATCGGTAAAATCCTGAATGTTAGCGGTCGAGGCTCTTGAATCTTTCTCCGTCACATTCCACTGCCTTGAGCCCCTCTCACTCTCAATCTAATTATTTGCTGATTATGTTACATCCTCCTCTTGGCTGCTCACATTTTTATTCTTTTCTTTACTCCCCAGATTTATTGATCATAAATTTTTTTTAAACACTTGTGGAGTGGAAAAATAATCACAACATGTGAATAGATTTTGGAAAAATACTCTAAAGAATTTATCTATTGTATCTGTCTTTCTGTAGGTGGAGGATGTTGATGCTGACTGTTAACTTATGGTAGATGATGAAATAAGTAGAGAAGTGAGACTGGAAGGATTGAGGAAGTGGAGTGTTTTAGATACCCGGGAGTGGATGTGTTAGTAATTGGAATGATGAACTTTTTGAGAGAATTTTAAGAAAGGAGACAAAAGTAAGGATGTACAGTCATGGAAAAACGTCCTGTTAGTCCTCCATCGCATCTATGAACCCTGAGAGTCGTGAACCTGTGAATCCGAGACATCACACAGTGTACCACCTATGGAACCAACAATGTGTGAAGTCTCGGATTCATAGGTTCATGAGTATTAGGGTTCATGGATGGGATGGAGGACTGACATGACGATTTTTGGTGATTGTACAAGGGAATCATTAAGTTGACACAAATATATAAATATGAACCTTAGACTGGATGTTAGAGGCAGGACTGGAAATGGTGTTGTTGAGTGTAATATAGAGTGTGAATGGGGTGCAGAGAAATACATCTGTACAGTCAAGAAATGGAAAAAAGAGAATGGATCAGTTATTTAGACGTGGATGAAATGTGACAGATATGTGTGACTTTTGGAAAAAACTTCCCTTATCTCATTATTTTATCTTAAACAAGTCTGTCTCACATTGTCATTTCCTGTAACAGACACACAAACATCTTGTAATTCATCTGAGCACAGTATTTCCCCAATTTTTTCATAGTATCTACTGTACTGTACTCTTTTATATAAACTTGTATTTGTACAGTACAAATATTAGAATAATATTAGACGACTTGCAATAGAATTTATTATGGCAAATAATTGGTGGTAACAGGATAATTTTTATTTGAAATAACCAATACTTTAATGTCTGCATTTATTTTTACACTCCAAAAGTTTAACATGAATAAATAGAACAGTTTGTAAGAAAAGATGAACTGTGCAATGCACAAGTGTGAACCTTATCCCGATACAAACAGAATTTAGGTGGTGAAAAGTAAACTGCGGACAGTGCTGTATATGCGAAGCCGGCATAAATGAGAGACAATGTGCCGTTAATGTTTCATCATGTTTCAGACTGCCAACCACAGCTGCAGATGATGTATGCAGGGAGTTACAACTACATGATCAAGGAGTGTGACCTGACCAAGGTCTTCCAGATACGTGACTTGGAAGAACTGGATGAAGAGTGGATCCAGACTAATTTAAAGAAGTAATGGAGGATAACCATGAACACCGTACGGACTCCAGCGCACGATGGATGTATCGAGTTAAGTCGCATTACTCACGTTGTCGAGGAAATTGGACTTGTATGTTAATCGGTTGTTAGTTAACAGACCAGAGTCACCTGTAGGAGTCTGTCATGGAAAGTATGTCAAGTTGTCATGAGGCGCGAGTTCTATATAGGCCAAATTTATCTTTTAATTTTTTTGGTGGAAAGCTTTTGGCTACATTATCACTGCAGTTTTATATACATTTATGAATACACTATCCATCTTGCAACTTGTACTACACTTCTGTCACACAACTTGATATAAATTACCACTACTAATGGGTCCAGTTTGTCTGTTTCTCGTGTCTTCCTTTCAACTTCCTCATCCAGTGATCACCATCTTGGTCACCGACATTTTTTATCCTATTTAAATGGTTTATCTCGCTCAGTGAAATAACTGTGTAGTTTCTATGGTGATCTGACCAGTGTACAAAATTTTTTATTGAGTGCCATTTAAGCTTCTGACACCAATGTTGAGAGGTGTGTGTGAGGACCACAGTAGTGAGGATTATGTGTGCAGGAATACAGTACAGTCTGTTTTGTGGATAGAAATCTGATGTATGAATTTCTGTAGTTTATGTTAAAAAAAATTATTATATAGTATGTAACTTATGTTTATAATTAATATTATGAAATAATTGTTTTTTTGCATGCAATAACTTCACTGCTAGCAAGTAAATTATTTTGTTTAGTTTCAATGGGTGTGTTATTTGTGACTGATTTGTGTAAAGTAAAAATTAATTACTGACTTACTTTAGAAGATTATAGGTGAATCTTTCTCTCTCAAAACAGATCATAGAACTTATGTGATACAGTGTAAGAAGCACAAAGATAAAGATATTAGTGTAAGATGTTACTTTGGTGTAAGAAAGTTTATATTATAAAATATTTTGCAAAATTCTTAAATATAATAAAAAAATTTATAACAATAAAAGGCTCAGACAGAGCAGACAAGTGTAGTTTTCACATCTATTTGCTGAGGTGATATTTGTTATTCAGTAAATATAATCTTGACTGCATCCTACGACTTGCATTCACTTGCGGAAATAAAACAAGATTACTGTCTTTAAGTAAACGAGAGGCTAGCATATTAAGAGGTTAATATGGTTTTAGTGATGATACTGTATGTACAATGATTGTGATGCAGTTAAGATGGGAACAAAGACCATTGGAGTTAGTGTTGCTTTGTAGAGCCTTGTGCCATATTATCACCACGACTACACAGTGTGGCTTGTTATTGTTGCCTTATACAGACTAGTTCAAGGGAATTTAAACCTTTTTATGGGAATTTCACCTTCACTTGAAAATAGCATTAACACTTTTTATAAAACACTTTCAATTTTGTTGTCCTGAATATACAAGCAGGTGTGAAGTGTTTAATTACTTTCTCTTAAAATGCACTTATTCTTCAGGATGTCAATGGTGTCCCAGAGGAAATGTGTCTTAAAGCCATAAGTTCAGTGTTAGAATAATTCACAACTGACCTGGGTGTTGAGGGGGAACAAGTTGATGAAGTTTTTGATTGAAGATGACACAGCCATAAGGTTTATTTTTTATCACCCTGTACTGTATAAGGAGAGTGATATGGTTCTTGCATTAGTTATGGAGCTTTCTTTTTCATTTGTGTTTACACTTCATGGAAGGTGAGTCGTGCGTGATCCAAAAGACAAAGCCAAAGTTGGTGTGTCTTAGGATGACACAAGTACAAATGCTTATCTTTCACTTAGTAACTTGGTGTGGATTATCATTCAAGTCGTCATGTATGAATATATTTATATGGTATACATACTAGTAATTAGCCAATGTATGTATGCAATTATATGTATTATTTTATAATGTGCCATCATAGAGTAAAATCTGCAAGGCATTTATATTCAGTAAATGTTTCTACCAATAAGTATATTCAGTGTATAAATTCACAAGAGCAGGTCAGTGAAGAACATATTGTTTTTCTAGTAATTCACAAATAATAAGTCTGCTTTTGTTTTATTTTCAGAGTATTAATATCTTTTATAAGATTTGTCAAGTTTTTATATGCATAAATTTTAATTACTAACCTTGACCCTGTATATATATATATATATATATATATATATATATATATATATATATATATATATATATATATATATATATATATATATATATATATATATATATATATATATATATATATATATATATATTCCTCATAAGCTAATAGACTCAGGCTGGACACTCATGAAAAGAGATATGAATTTAAAATCAGGCAATGTGTGCAAGACATGTGTTATACTGTACTGCATTAAATCAACTTGAGGATTATGAGTCGGTTATGTGTCCACCTTGATAGTAACATCATCATTATCTGCTGGTAGTCCTCATGCTAACATCAGTACAGTACTGTATTGACTTTGCTCTTCATCTAAGTTAAACAAACCAAGATTGTTTGTTTTCACTTATCAAAGCTAAGGTGAATGTTCCTTGTTGGCTTCACTGTGGATGGGAAGTAATTTGTTGTGATAATTTTGTTATTTATAAATAATGAATCTGCATTTGTCTGGTCCTACAAAACTTTGGGTATTGTAGCTAATATTGCATGTTTAATTGTTGATGGCTGGCTTGGCACCTTTTTTAAATCATTTGTGTTATTGTTGTTGTTCAATACCTTATGAGTTTCAGTTTATGACACATTTGCACAAGTCATACATTCCCAAGTCTTGTCAAAACTCGGTTTAGGAAACTCTTCCCCGTTTTAGTTCTCTCTCGACGTAGTGGTCAAGCCATCTACTCATCACTTTGTTGTTGTTGTAAAGTTCTCTTGTGATAAATTCCTCTCTGATGTTGTCTGTTGTCTAAGTGGCATTTCTCGGCATGTTTGAGAGATGCTTCATACTGATTACTGTATGGTCATCTGGGAGCTAATTATGATATAGCAACAACTTGTTGTATAGTTTTATTCATACACTTTATTCAATGGTCATATCCACACCAACTTGTATTAAAGACTACAGAGGTACGAAAGATGTTTGTTCACAAGTTGTATATACTGTACTGTACTACAGTCCTTGGTTTATCTGTTGTATTACTTTATTAGTATGGTTTATTTTATGGCTGTGAAGGAACGTAACTGATACATCAACCAGGTGATGAGGTGAGGGCTTATCACTCCTGTTACACTTCTTTTAATTCAGAATCTTTGTTTTGCTTCGTTAAGCAACTTCCTGGGGTATTTATCAGCTCCTCTCTGATAGTGGTGGGAATTTAAATCCTGTGGTCAGTAGAGGTCTGAAATGTAATTTAGTTGATGGTCTTTGTGTGGTTCAGCTCCATCCCTCCTGTTGCTTATTTGTTCCCTCCACAGATTTTTCTCACCTGACAACTGGTAAAGAAAAATGTCAGGGTGTGACTAGTGCTTTATAAATGTGTAGAGTATTCTTATTTGTCTCATGTGTGGTGTCTTAGGCCCACTGAGAGACAACACACTCGTGAGGATAAATGGTGGTAACGGAAATAAAAAAAAATGTTTGCTTAGTTTTCAAAGAAACATCCACCAGTTATAAATATTGGCAGGTTGGGTTTGCATGTCCTTTATTTCTTTTTTCAGTGATAGCAAGTGCCTGTAAGCCTTGTGCCTCTCCCATAAGTTCCAGATTATTTTTCCACTCTACAGACAGGCACATTGATGAGTCTTACAAATCTGAACAGTTTTCTGGTCATAAAGGGACATCTTTTCAATAGCTTTAGGTTTACCCAGCAAGTCAGCTGGTAGGGTGGGCCCTGTGAAAGACTCCCAAACACCCCTTCCTTCCCTATCTGCTGCTACAAGTTTTCTCAGCTGAGTCATTTTAGTTCCCAGTTCTCTACTTATTAATCACTACTTCACCATTTGTCAGGTGTTGTGGGGAACTTGTCATCTTTCTCTTCTTTTCCCCTTCAGTCTCTTTATAGGACAAGGAAGCTTTAAAATGTTGTATTATACGAAATGAAACTGTTTTGTTAGGTGTAGAGTATGCTGGGGATTATATTAGTTCTTGTACGTACAGTATGGTACAGCACAAGTACTGACCATCAATGTTTCTTATCTCTTCTTTATAAAGTATGTTTGCAGCCTGAGGTTAGAAGCTGAAGTGATTGGCAATTGCCATAGTTAGACCAGCCTGTGTTAAGAAGTAAAGGATATATATATATATATATATATATATATATATATATATATATATATATATATATATATATATATATATATATATATATATATATATATATATATATATATATATATATATATATATATATAAAGTGTGTGTGATTTTCACTAGGAATAGAGTGTGGAGCTATGGCTTTGATTAAATATTAATACAAAATTAGTAAAATAAGAATTATGTCTATTTCAATCAAAAGACTCATAATTTTATATGTTACAATTGTGATGTCACTGGACAAGCAAATGTGTGGTGAGGCAGGAGGTGGGTGACAGACCAAGAGATGAGTGGGGACCAGGAGGTGGGTGGTGAGGCAGGAGGTGGGTGACAGACCAAGAGATGAGTGGGGACCAGAAGGTGGGTGGTGAGGCAGGAGGTGGATGGGGGACCAGGAGATGGGTGGTAGATCAGGGTGTACGACCAATCATACAATAACAAAAGCACTGTACTCCTGGGACCAATATGAACTGTAGGTAAACACTCAGTTGTGTCAGTACAGTTTGTGGTCTAGTGCAGGTGAGTGTTTGTTCTCATAAGGTAGCGATTCCACCGATGTCTGGAGAAAATGTTCTGATTACCCAAAAGATATTACATGGCAGTGTTGGTGTCCATATAAAGTTAGATTTCAGTTTGGAATATTTTTGGGGCATTTAAGTTGAAAAAATTAATTTGGAAATTTATTATTGGTTTTGTTTTGTTAGACTACTGTCCAGATGGTCAGAGAGAAGTTAAGAAAGTTCAGCTCACAACAGGGAGTTTACAGATTGGTCAGGGAGATTTATGCAAGAGACTCGAGAGTTATTTAACAGAGGCTAAATAAGAGATAATCTGTATCCCTGCTGACACATACATAGACAACAGGTATTCTCGAGCAGATAGGTGGCATCTGTTTGGCCAATACGCTGACTCGTGAGACACAAACTCATGTCACAACAAACGTGGTACATAAGAGAGAAAATGATCATTTGTTGTACAGGTGGCAATAAACACATTTTATTTCTGTCACATTAGTACACAATTTTCAGGTTGTGCACCATGTTTGCTTTGACTACGGGGTATGGCTCATCTCTCACTGATTAGCAAATCATTGAATTTAATCCCATTATTCCATCATTGTGTACTTGTTGACTGTGTATGTAACAACAGTTTAAAATAGAGTGAGCAAACTGTTTTTTGCTTTATTGTTGAATTTGATTATGAATTCTGTAACTGCCATGAAATGTGCTGTGTGTGTTATTTTTCTCTCTATATATATTAGTGTATTTCCAAAATGCTGTACAGTAAAGTATCTGTCAACTGAAACATTTGGGACCAAGAGACTTCCATAAAATGGAAAGATTATGGAGGGTGGATACTATCATGAACATGTGCACAAGGAAAGCATGCAATAAACCATAGTACTTTTGTCAATTTGATTATGTTATTAGTTTCGACAACTACCCATACATTAATTTACACTCACAGTGTTCTTAAGTCTACATTAAAGCTTTCTGTATCATCATTCTCCTACAGTCACCAGGTAACGTCTTCCTCAAACTCACCTGAAGACAAGTAGACTCATCACTCACACCACGCCACACATTTACTCAGCCAGTGTCCAATTTCTCCTCATTTACTCTCATGTAATATGAGGCAAATTAAATAAAAGAAAATTATTGCATATTTTTATATTCATATTTAGAATGCTCAAATCTTTCTTTAAAAGATAATTTTTTAACGTACAGTATATGAGCACTGGCTCAGACACACTACCATTTAAGTACTGTACCAACATTTCACTTAGTTTTATATGAAGAAACAATTGAGTGTTGGAATTCAGATACTGTATTGTATGACACAATTTCCCAATTTTTGCTATGATAAAAGAGAGTGAAATAACTGTACTAATGTGTGAGAAAATATTATTTGTTAACTAAACTTGTTTCCACGTTTATGTGGTTTAGACGACCACGGGCAAGCAGTAGTTCTTGCAGGCCATCATCCGTACTGAGGATATAAATTCAGGTACTGCATGTAGCACAATATTTTATCATTTATTCTGCAGCATGTAGTAGACTATGTTGTTATGTGTCACATGGCAGATGAACAAATATAGCACAACATTTGTACTGAGTGTGGCACGTCATGTTGACAAGTGTTAAGCAATATGTCTGCAAGTATATAGTCCAATATTTTAAGAGTGTAGCACAATTTTAATAGTGTAAAATTAGGTTTAACAAGTATATCCAATCTTGATAAGTGTTATCACATCACTTTAAATAATATAGCACATTATCTATCACATACAGATCACCTTGACAAGTTTAGCACATCATGTTAACACAAGTAAACCCATTTATTATCTTGCTTTAAATTATGAGACATAGTGGCCATCATTGACAGCAACAGTTGTGTGAGTTACAGGTTAAATGTTTTTATCATATGAGAAGAATCTTGCAATCTGTGGATCACCATGTTTTATTGACTAGTACATTACTTGAACATGTGAAGCCTATTTTATGAGGGTGAGCTTTGCTTACTGTGTTGAACTTGTGCAGAAATGGATAATGTGATGATGAAGTTAGTACACCAGTCTTGATTCCTGACGTAAGTGGTGCATGTTATTGTTTGCATCCAGTAAAGGTTAATTGTTATTATTTAGCAGGATGGTGTAACATTCACTCCAGAGAGTATCTTTACGGAGGGGCCCGATGAATTTCAAGATGTACACCGCGACTCCTGTTCTCGGTAGGGTTATCAAAATCCTTCGTCCGTTGTGTCATATTGTCTCGAACAAAATCGTGAAGATACTTCTTGGAACGAGTGTACCTGTTGCCAGTTTCTGTGTCAAGACCCCACACTAAGCTGTCCCGCCATTCCTTTGAGCTGCCACCCTGCTATATTATGGGGTATGGCATTCAGGGTGTTAATTTTATGTTATTTATTTTATTTATGTATGAATTGATTGCTTACTTCTCTAAAGGCTGAACTAATGAGTAAAATGAGCTGTCAGAGACTCATTATTGATTCTTTGAGTGGGTGTAAGTATTCTGCATGTATGATGTAAATATTTATTCCATTTAAAGTTTTTATTTAGATCAGTATTGTTAATGTTTCTCTTGTTGATTTTGTACAACTAGTGTACTTGTTTCTAACTCTACTGTAAGTCTTTGTACTCAATAATGACAATAATTAAAAATGACAAGAATAATATAAATATTAGGTACAGGGTTTTCATCTTGAATTGGTTAAATTGACCACCTTCACTCATGTCTGGGTTGAGTAACTTTCCCCACAAACAAAATGATTAACCTGATCTTGGTTATTCTTTTAATACTTTTGTCTTCACGTCATCCCAGACACTCCAAATTATATTTCGTTAAAACCCTGTACAGTACAGTATGTATATGTACAGTACAGTCTCAGTATTATCAGTCAAAAAGTAAGCTGTTGTAAATGAAAAGTGAAATAATACATCACCATATATACTGATTGTATACTTCCATATGATATATCCTGTGTTGACAATATACTGATAGCAGATTGTGACCCTGAATAACTGTTAGTAGTCACTAGTCAGTACATACTCAGGTGGTGACAATATTGTTTGTAATGAGATAATAATGCTGTTTATAATGATAAGACAATATTGTTTATACTGGGGTGACATGTAGGGCACCCCACAAAGGCTCAGTTTGTCCTCAAGGTAATATTTTTCAAAGTGCCACAGTAAAGTTTCAAACTATTGTACAGTACAGTACTGGTCCTTTGATTATTAAGGTGTTCTAGTCCTTGTTATGTGATGACAAATCTAGATTCTCTGAGATGTTACACTATGTCATAAATAAAGACTTGAATAATAAAATGTAAGAATTATTATCATGATCATCTAGGCATTTTGTTTTTACTAAAATTAATCTAAATTTTTAATGTTTTTGAGTTTTTTGATCCCTTGAGTGTGATGATTCACTCTTGAGTACTGCAGTATGTTATTGTAATCTGTGAATTGTTCGTCATATACAGAGGGTTACATCATTGTTCTCAATTCTTTGTACCTGATAAACTAATTTACTCAAGGGATTAATTTTCTTGATGGGCTTTTCATTATACTTAAGGGTTGGCATGTATTCAGAGGGTTTGGTTTTTCTTCAAAATTTTACATCAACTTAGACCAAAAGTTATTGATCATTGAGACAAAAGACAAGGACACCTTTTGTGAAGTGTCAGCTGCCACTGTTTATTGCCTGCTCATCTACTTCTGAATTTCTTTTTAAACTGTTGAGTCTTTCTTATGTAATTTGGCATAGAAACTTCTCAAGACAAGTTTGATTAGAATTTACTTGGGGAGATAATCCTCAGCAACCATTTGTTTCTAAAGTATGTTACGGTAAGTATACAAACCCCAGAATGGTGAGGGGCAGTGTACCTGACCTGTCTGATTGTCCTTATTTTATTACAAGGTTGTCTGTGTGACTACTGGACCTGTATAACTGTGATAATGTTGACCACAAGCAGTGTGTGGTGATTAATGACACAAAATCGTTATGTGTGCCCATGATAAGTGGGGTACCACAGGGCAGTGTACTGGGCCTTTTGCTGTCTGTTTGGTTCATAAATGACATGCCAGAAGCTATACACTCCTCCATACAAATGTTTGTGGGCGAACCCAAGTTATTCAGGGAAATTAAGAACAAAACAGACTGTAAAGAGCTACAGAAGGATTTCTGTCTGCTTCAGGAGTGGTCAAGTGAATGATTGTTAAGATTCAATGTCATGAAATGTATGAGGATGCACCTAAGTCATACCAACAGTAAGGAGGCATATCACATGTCTCAATGGGACAAAGAAACAGCATTAACAGAGACCAAATGCAAAAGGGTCTGGGTGTGTACATTGACAATGAGGTGAAGTTCTCAGATCACTGTGAGAAGAAATTCTATGAAGCTACTAAGCTAGTGGGTCCTTTAAGAAGGGTGTTCAGAAACCTAGATGGTCCATCCCTCATAAAGCTTTTCAGAAGTTAGGCGCTTCCCCGTTTGGAGTACTGTCATCCCTTCTGGTCTGTGAGATATACTAGAGACTATCAGTTGATTGAAAACATCCAAAGGCAGGCCACCAGACTATGGCACCTCAGGTACCCAGAAATATTAGAATACCTGCTACTGCATAGCTTATAGGATATAGACAGGCAAGGGGTGAACAAATAGCAGCCTTTAAACACCTCCGAGGACTTTGCTCAGTCGAGTGTTCATACCAGGAACTGGCAGATGCCCACCCTACTAGGGGTCACAGTTAAGGCTGAAGAAGCTACAAGTTCAGAAAATTGTCTGGGCAAACTTTTTTGGAGTGTGAGTTGTGAATTCTTGGAGCAATCTACCAGAGATCGTTGTGACGGCACCGAGTGTGAGCTCTATCAAGACCAGACTTGACCAACACTGGAGCAGGTTCAGATACATTCAGGAGCCAGTACATGCCCAGTACTTGCCATGAGTGGGTAACAGTGATGTGACCGACCACCCAAGCAGTTAATGATCCAATCATTGACAAAGAGGATAAAACTAAAGTAAACGTAACAGTGCATAACAGAGACGTGGCCAGGCTGCCCAAGCAACTAACAGATCAGTTAGTGATGAAGGGGATAGAGTAAAGTACAGTACCGAACTGTTTAACCACTACAAGGGAGGTACTATATGAACAACAGCATATTGAACTGATGAAAAAAATAATATGGTAATTAAATTATATCAGTGCACACTGCGATGATCACCAGCAAGGAATATCATAAGGAACTAAATCTCATATATTTTCTTTAAGTCCCTAACCTAACTTAATTTATTGTGACCAAACTTAACTTATTCTAATCTAACCTAACCAAATCAAACCTAATTTAATATAACCGAACCAAATCTAATGTAACCTAACCTTATCTACTTAACCTAACATATCCTAATCTAACCTAACCAAACCAATATATACTAGGGTTCCTAATAATCCTGAAATAAATTTATTCGTATTAATATTTTGCTAATAAACTGTAGCGCAAAATTCACTTTGTCAAAATTGCCTAAAGTTCCATCATGTGAACTTTTTGTTAAATAAATTTATATAGCTAAGGTTAATTTTTTTAATAACTCTTTCCTGAATTTACTACACGTTAATTATGTTCTATACATTATTATTATTATTATTATTATTATTATTATTATTATTATTATTATTATTATTATTATTATTATTACCACCAACGGAATTTCGTGAATTTTATATTTGCAATCAAGAGTTCAAACAATTTTAAGACACTTTTCTTCTATGACATTTCCTTCGCTAATTACCTCTATTATTGTTATTATTAGCCATTAAATTAAGGTGACTCTCGGTTAGTCTCTTTAATACTACGGTAACACATTTAAACTCATTCAAAGTCATTTAATTCCCGCATTTAAACTCATTCATAAACTGTTTATTTACGTCCATTTTCTCTGTTATAAAAGAAAATGAAGCTTTATTATGGAAGGACTTCTTTACTTTTTAATTGTGGATATAAGATATAGCAATTGTTTTACTTTCGTGTATTTTATTTTACTCTCTTCACCACTGTTAGCCGCTTGGGTCAGGTCAGGCACTGTTGGCATCAAGGGTCAACAGGACATAAGAGGTCATTTATTTATTGCCTTCACACATCAAAGAAAACGGAACTACAGAAGCTCGTTACATCACATAATTCAACACCAATAAGCATGCCGAGCACTTGTTATTTATCACAAATTAGAAACATGAGTGATATATTTTCCATCGTTTTCCCAAGGATAAGGAACTGAGAAGAAGCTGGATTTACTTGTGCTGAATGATAGACTGTATAAAAGCTGAAAATGCCATAATATACAGCTTGCATTTTGAGGCCAGTACGTTTGAGACGAACTTGAAAGGATTAAGGATGGAGCAATACCAACATTACAACTACCATGTTCAAAAGGTAAGCCTATGTTATTTCAGGTACAACTTATCAATAGGAGTGTTATAATACAACGTATCCAACTTCGCGTCCGAAATTAAACATACCTGAAAATAATTTAGAATAAGCTTTTATATAGTTCACAGTGGCAGCAAAATACTATATACAGCTTCTTCTGAAGGAGTGTCAGTTTTACTTTCTTCATTGACAAGTTGTTAAATGACCGTTATCATTAATAAGTGGGCACAAGCGGCGTCAGGAGCTCTGAAAAGGTTCGGTGTTTTTGATACGTGAGCAGACCTTATATTTTATAGCCCTTGGTTGGCACCGTGGGCATGTACTGGCTCTTTGTTACACACTGTTGGCAACTTCCTGAATGCCAACCTGCTCACGTGTGTAAGGACGACTCAAACCCATGACAGTTGAGAGAGAGAGAGAGAGCATTAGCGCCGCACCAACACCACTCCTCCAATTATTTAATGTTGATTATAATTACAACGCATGACTGGTGGAGGCAGCATGACTGGTGGGGGTAGCATGACTGATGAAGACAGCATGACTGGTGGAGGCAGCATGACTGGTGGGGGCAGTTTGAGTGTGGGAGACACAACATGACTGGTGGAGGCAGCATGACTGGTCAGCATGACTGATGAAGACAGCATGACTGGTGGAGGCAGCATGACTGGTGGGGGCAGTTTGAGTGTGGGAGACACAACATGACTGGTGGAGGCAGCATGACTGGTGGGGCAGTATGACTGATGAAGACAGCATGACTGATGGAGACAGCATGACTGGTGGAGGCAACATTACCAGGGGCAGCATGACTGTGGGTGGAGGCAGCATGACTGGTGGGGGCAGTTTGAGTGTGGAGACACAACATGACTGGTGGAGGCAGCATGACTGGTGGAGGCAGCATGATTGATGAAGACAGTATGACTGATGGAGACATCATGACTGGTGGAGGCAACATTACTGGTGGAGGCAGCATGACTGTGGTGGAGGCAGCATGACTGTGGTGGGAGGCAGCATGACTGTGGTGAGGCAGCATGACTGTGGTGGAGGCAGCATGACTGTGGTGGAGGCAGCATCACTGTGGTGGAGGCAACATCACTGTGGTGGAGGCAACATCACTGTGGTGGAGGCACATCACTGTGGTGGAGGCAACATCACTGTGGTGGAGGCAGCATCACTGTGGTGGAGGCAGCATCACTGTGGTGGAGGCAGCATCACTGTGGTGGAGGCAGCATCACTGTGGTGGAGGCAACATCAGAGGGTCACACACCACAACAAAAATCGATGGTGCTTCATCTTAGACAACCTGTCACCGGGGGAGTCATCTTCTGTCCTCGTCTGCTGTACTTACTGTGGTGTTGTGAGGAGGAGGAGGAGGGGGTAAGGAGGAGGTAGGAGGTGTAGGAGGAGGTTGAGGAGTTGGGTGTTGCTCAGGTCGCAGGTGTAGGGAGGCATGGGGTTAGGGGGTGTAGATGCGCGGGTGTGGGCGCGTGGTGTGCACGTGTGGGCGCGTGCGCGGGAGGTTCAGTGTGTCAGTGATGGTGGTGCTGGGAGGCTGTCATCTCCGGCGTCAACATACAGTAGTGTCAGTGTCGCGGGATCTCCTGCCGCCCCTGCTGCTGCGACCACAGCAGCAGCAGCCGTCGGCGTTACAGTGCTGCTATGAGTGCCCCCAGGCTCCGCAGCAGCAGTAGCAGCAGCAGTAACAGCAGCATCAGCAGGAGGTGGCTGAGTGGAGCCTCCTCCTGGTAGCATGAGTGCATCACTCCCCCCACCACCACCAGCCCCTCGACCCCTCGACACACACACGGTACGTCCAACATGGCGACACCTCCCCCTCCCCCTCCTAACTCTACCGCAGTTCTCCGCTGGTCCTTAGCCACCTACCACACTCACAACCA